CGTTATTGAATCTTAAGATTAGTTTTTCAAATCCATACACATACAAAGTGATGGAGGGTAATTTGGCCGACCAATCACGAAGAAACACGAGGCGATTCCGAACCATTTGATGACACTTCAGTGCCACATGGGACAAGTCAAGTGGAGCCAGGATGGCCTAGATCGACCCACCTAGCTTACATCCCAACCTGAGATTGACTAGCAGGCCGCTCCATGATAGAGTAGCATATATCACCTCAGGAGAGCAAGCCAATGACCTTGGAGGCCAGCTTGACCTCCTTGACCAAGGCAGCCAAAGACTTGAGTAGCTAGCTAACTTCTAGGGTACTGACCTACCGACCTACGTGGTAGGTTGTCCTTATCCAAAGTGGTGCCTATCGGTTCCAAGTCAGGTGATAAGTGCAACCTACTCTCTCAAGCCATTCTCTACTATCAAATACTCTTTTCACTAACTTAAGCATCGGAGTGCCAGCCCGGATTCATCACATCGAGTACTCTGATCTTCTAATCTTCTTGTAGTTCGGTGGACCAACCTCATCAGCTCGTTTGTTTGAATTGTCCTACATCGGGGAGTTTGGCGATTTCAAGTAGCATCACAAAGCATTGTTCAATCCTCAAACATAAAAGTAATAAAAAGAGAACCACACATAAATATTGTCTTCCATTGTCCATCATTTGATGGTTATTTTTTCTTTCTAGTAGGTTTTTAACGAAATGAAAAAAAAAAAAAATCAGTGGTGATGGGGTTTTAACTTAGACTAACACAGTTTTAAATCACTAAGAACACGCAGAGCTGGTATATGACTATAGGAACTGATGAATACTTAGAATAACATGAAGAAACGGTTGCAATAAATGATCACAATAAGTAATGGGCTCTTACTTGTTATTTTAGTGCCACTGTAGTTGTTTTGTTTCTCTATTGTTTTTCTCTTTTCTTTCTTCTAGGATAGCTTGCATTCTTTAGTTTGGGTTGTTTTTTTCTCTCTTGTACGTTGTCCTACTTTTCTATGTTCTTTTTTTGCTTATCTTGTTCATTGTTTCTCCCCTGTCTTGTTTTACTACTAGCAAGGACCCCTATGATGCACAGGATTTATCAAGCGAAAGCTAAATAATAGAAAATGATCATTTATTAAAATACCCTTATAATTTTATGGATTTACTAAATTCTACCCTATAGTTAGTATTTTACTAAAACACCACTTAAAATTTGCAATGGATTTAATCAATCTTCCATTAGATGATAGTGTTGACCTTAATATTCATTT